CTAGAAAAGAACCCAGTAGTAATAATATATATTATCCCTCACTGTGTTATAAACTATAGGATGTTAAAGCTTTTGTGGTTTGTCTGTGCTGACAGGGTCAGCTCATGGCAATCTTTCTGTACAGCCATTCTAATGCTTCATTATTACAAGTTCAACTGGGTTACAGTGCTAAGATTTTAACCCAAGTCCTCCTGCATACTAAACATGTGCTGTATTGCTAAGTAATACTCCTACCATCCACATTTAAAGCTATTAAAGTTCTGAAAAACAATTTTTGAGGCAGTATTTCTCTGTGTAGCCTTGGCTGTCTTTGAACTAGGCTAGCCTTGAACTCACAGCTCTATCTGCCTCTGCCTCCTGAGGGCTGGGATTAAAAGCATGTACCACCATGCCCAGCTAACCAGTTGTTTTTTAATAGGATGAAGAGAGTATGAGCTTTAAAATATCAGGTAAAAGTTACACAAAACTTTGAGGTCATCATAGAGTTAATTTAAAACTGAGATAGTTACTAAACAGTCTCTCTTGAGGGAGATATTTCTCACTGGTTGAGGACATGAGGCCTTGAGTTCAGTGCCAGGACAAAACTAATCAATAAACTTGAGCAAAAGTAGAACATTTTTTGATTACCAGCTAAAGTAGTAGTACTTTTATGGCTTCTGTTTGACAACTTTGTCCTTGCACCGTTCATTCCTGGTTCCTGAGGAGGCCAGAGCTATAGATGGTTGTAACATGTTGGTAGACACTGGAACTTAAACTATGGTCATCTGAAAGAGCAGCAAGTGCTCTTAACCACCTAACCATCTTTCTAGCTCCTTTGAGTCTTATTTTAGATGAGATTTTCTTGGGGTGCGAGCGTGTGCGTGTGTGTGTGTGTGTGTGTGTGCGCGCGTGTGTGTGTGTGTGTGTGTGTGTGTAAGAGAGAGAGAGAGAACACAAGCGCTTTTTTTTTTGTGTGTAATCCAGGTTAGTCTCAAATTCAGGCTTCAATCTCAGCCTTGACAGTGCTGAAATTACTGTGTACCACCATGACCACCTTGAACACTTTTTTTCTTGGTGTATAAAAACAGTGATGGTTGCGAGGCAGTGGTGGCGCACTTTAATCCCAGCACTTGGGAGGCAGAGGCAGGCGGATTTCTGAGTTCAAGGCCAACCTGATCTACAGAGTGAGTTCCAGGCTAGCCAGGGCTACACAGAGAAACCCTGTCTCGAAAAACAAAACCAAAAGAAACAAACAAAAATAAACCAGTGATAGTTAATATATCTGCAGTGCTATGTATACACTGCTATCTACTTGTAGGGTGTTTTTTTTTGTCATGTACCCTACTGTCTCTTCCTTGCCCTAGTCACTAATCTGCCTGTTTTCTGTTTCTGGGTTTGTTCATTGGGAAATTTTGTGGAAATGACATTGAAAAATAATATGAGGCCTTTGGCATGTGGATTCTTATGGTCAACATAAATGTTTTCAACATTCATCTATATTGAAATACGGATAAGCACTTAATTTCTTCTTATGACTGAGAAATACTTCATCATATCAGTGAATGATACTATGCTTATCCACTTAGCCATTATGTAACTGATAGATGATGTGTAGGTTGTTGCCTCTTTTGGATGTTCTGGCTTTTGTGTGTGTTTGTTTTTATTTTTCTCAGCTACAAACTTAAGATTGAAATGGTCATACAATAACTTCCAGCACCTTTTTTTTCCCACCAGAACTTGTTTTTTGTTTGTTTTTCCTCAGAATTTCTTATTGTACTGGCCTTCCTATGTGGATGTGTGATAGTGGAATATTACCATGCTTTTAATTTATATTTCTCTGATGACCAGTGAACTTAAGCATCTTCTCCTGTAACTCTTGATGATTCCTGTAGTTCCATTAGAAAAATGTTTACTTGATCTATAGCTGCTGTTTTTAGTTCAGTTTTGGGTGGGGGGGGCACTAGCCCAGATAATGATTCATAAGTGTTTTCTAGAATGAATTAATCTGGGTTGGTAAAAAAGACTACCTTGACTGATTCTCTGGCCTGTGTTTTCATACTTGGCATTTTCTGTTTAAGGGATGAAGATGCCCCTTCTAAAATTCCAGATGAAGAGGCCACAAAGCCTGAAGGCTGGTTAGATGATGAACCCGAGTATATTCCAGATCCTGATGCCGAGAAGCCAGAGGACTGGTGAGTTTGAGTTTGCTTTTACAATATCCTAGCTTTTTGTTTTTTTAAATAAATAAGTAAGTAAATAAATAAATAAATAAATAAATAAATAAATTTATTTTTAAGGTTTTCAAGACAGGGTTTCTCTGTGTAGCCCTGTCTGTCCTGGAACTCACTCTGTAGACCAGGCTGGCCTTGAACTCAAGAAATCCGCCTGCCTCTGCCTCCCAAGTGCTGGGACTAAAGACGTGCGCCACCACTGCCTGCCTTAAAGTTTATTTTTATTTTATGTGCTTTAGTGTTTTGCTTGCATGTTTGTCTGTAAGTGTGTCAAGGAAGAGAAGCCAGTGCTCTTAACTGCTGAACCATCTCTCCAGCCTCAATTAAAATCAATTACTTAATACCAGCAAGGGGAGGCAGATCTCTGAGATTGAGGCCAACCTGGTCTACAAAGTGAGTTCCAGGACAGCCAAAGCTGTTAAACAGAGAGCTCCTGTCTCAGAAAAACCAAAATCAGTCAATCATTTAATCAGTCAAATCAACATGTGCCCCTCTCCCCCAATAAAAAGAAGCAAAAGAAAGAAAGCTGGGTTTAGTAGTACATGCCTTTATCTCAGCACTCACAGGCAGGGGGATCACTGAGTTCCAGGACAATCAGGGCTACCAGAGAAGCCCTGTCTCAAAATCAAAACAAACAAAAAACCCCAACTGCCCTGAGTGAAAAGCCTTACAAACTTTACTAAATTTCATTGTGTAAAAGCAAAGTAGGTTGTTTATGAAAGCTCACTGATAGTGGAAACGAGAAATGAGATACTGTTGTATGCTGCTGGTATAGCTCTAACAGCATCCTGAGAGCATACGACTAGCTGTTTGTTTATATAACTTGTTTATACCTCCACAGGGATGAGGATATGGATGGAGAATGGGAGGCTCCTCAGATTGCCAACCCTAAGTGTGAGTCAGCCCCTGGGTGTGGTGTCTGGCAGCGACCTATGATTGATAACCCCAATTATAAGGGCAAATGGAAGCCTCCCATGATTGACAATCCTAACTACCAGGTTTGTGTCTCCTGATGGTTTAGATGTGCCTATTAATCTGTTCGTGTTGGGGCAGAAATTTGATCAATAGTGAGGCCAGCAAATCAAGAAGAGAAAATCAGTTTGAGACAGATGAATAACAGGCTAAACATAAAACCTAAAAACAGGAAAGAGAGGTGTTGGAACTTACAATGTGACTGTCTTAAGTTTGAGTTTCCATTGCTATGAAGAGAAACACCATGACTAAGACAACTCTTACTGAGGAAAGTATTTGATTAGGGCTGGATTACAGTTTCATAGGTTGAGTCCATTGTCATTATAGGAAGCATGGTAGCCTACAGGTAGACACAGTGCTGAAGAGATCTACATTTTGATCAGCAGGCAGCAGAAGGTGACTGTGCCATATTGGGCAGAGCTTGAGCATACAAGAACTCAAAGCCCGCCCCCACAGTGACATACTTCCACCAATAAGGCCACACCTAAAGGTGTGATTTCCTGTGGTCCAAGTGTTGAACTACATGAGTCTATGGAGCCCATTTCTATTCAAACCATCATAGTGACCTACATCTAAAAATAAAAGCAGCATAGAAGAACTTAGGGTGTGGATACCCTATTGTTGAATGCATAGATTGGCCATAAGGGAACTGTGATGGGAGTTGGATCTTGCCTTGCCAAGTCTGCTAATTGCTTGGTCTCATCAGTTTTCTTCACCTGCCAAAGACATGAAGTAGTAGTCATATGTATACTGAAGTTATGAAGCTCCACTTGTGTTCTGGGAAGACCGGTATAGATCCTTACCTGGCTTCAGTTTCTAAACTAAAAGAACGATAGTCATAAGTTTTCACTTAGACTTTTAGATGTGTGGTACATCTATGTGCATATATTGTTTATGTAAAATGTTTTTAGTTGTTCATTTAGATAACTATGACCAAACAAAAAAGCTTGCCATTTGGGTATTTGGATATGTTTTATTTACATGCCAGTAATTCTAACACATGGTTATCAGCATGAGGACCAGGAGTTGAAATGTCAATTTCAGCTATAACTAGGAAGATCAGGAGTAGTTTAAGGCTATCCTGGGTTTTGTATGAATCCCTGTTGAACCAAACCAAACCAAATTGACATTTAGCTATTACTCTGTTGGCCACCACCAATTGTGTTTTGTTGAGGATTAGTATTGAGACTGAATCCAGTGTCTCATGCATGTTAGGTGCAAGTGCTGTGTCCCTTGTCTCATTGTTTGAGTCATTGTGGCTGAAACTATCAGGATGTTTGCAGTCAGTACTTTTTCATTTGATCTCTAGAGCTAAATTACTAGTTAGTAGTTGAAGACTGTACATTTTATTTTTTTAAATCACTACTGGGAAATGGCTTTACTGACTACATTCCACCATCACATGTTAAGGGTGAAGTGAGCTACACAGAATCAGGTGTTGGTTCAAAACAGGATCCTGCAGATTGGCAGTTGAATTTGGTGGTAGTCCAGGATTCATTACAAAAACATCACTAGCTTTTATTGTTCTGTGCTTGCTTAAATTTGACAGTTAATGTTAATCTTTGATCGTGCAAAATGAGTCTTATATAGATTTTCTTTTGGTTATTATCTGAAATGATGTTTTGAAACTTCTCTCCCCCTCATCCCCCCACCCCCCGCATCTCCCCCCCATCCCCCCTGCACGTGCGCCCATCACAAACTAGGGAATCTGGAAACCAAGGAAAATACCAAATCCAGATTTCTTTGAAGACCTGGAACCTTTTAGGATGACTCCTTTCAGTGCTATCGGTTTGGAGCTCTGGTCCATGACATCCGACATCTTTTTTGACAACTTTATTATTAGTGGTGACCGAAGAGTAGTTGATGATTGGGCCAATGATGGGTGGGGCCTAAAGAAAGCTGCGGATGGTGCTGCTGAGGTTAGTGATTGTTGTATGTGTATGTATATGTGTTTGTATCTATCATTTTAAGTTTTTGTTTTTTAAGACATGATTTTTCTGTGTAGCCCTGGCTGTCCTGGAACTTGCTCTGTATGTAGACTAGGATGGCCTCAAACTCACAGGGACTCACCTGTCTCTGCCTCCAGTGTTTTGATTAAGTCATGTGTCACTGCACTTGGCTTAAGTATGTTTTACTGCACTGAAAATGTTGAATCTTGGTTTTACCATTGTATGAAATTTTCAAATAACAAATGGTGTTGTTGCGTTGCAATTTGGAGGGCCAGAAAGCTGGCCCTCCTGAGTAAGGGACCTTTTTGCAGTTATTACAAACCATGGTTTGCACTATGAAACTTCATGATGGTAATGCAGTAACATGAGGGATTTTTTTTTTTTTCCTAATTTCTTAGTGTGCATAGTTTGACTCCTTTGGAAATAAAGGTGTTAGTTGTACCATGTGAGCATGAAACAATCAGTCTAGCCTGTATTTGGTGTCATAGACCAGTTCTCTGAATTACTGTTGCTTTGTGTTTCAGCCAGGTGTAGTGGGGCAGATGCTGGAGGCAGCTGAAGAGCGTCCATGGCTTTGGGTGGTCTACATTCTGACTGTAGCTTTGCCAGTGTTCCTTGTGATCCTCTTCTGCTGTTCTGGAAAGGTAGGAACGTCTAATTGTATCCATTGAAATTTTCTTTAGTAGTAGTTTGGTGAATAGTGGGCCATGTTATGCAGGAGCTCCTTTACCCAGATGATGACAGGATTTAGAATCCCTTGTTTGTCATTCCTCTCTCTTCCTCTCCTGTATATGGAGTGATCCTATCTAGGGGAGAAAGAACAATGGATATAAGATCAGCCATCTAGGCACACACTAGTTTTCCTCATAATGTTATTCTTATTTATCTGTGGCTCCTACCCTGCCTTCACTCTCTCAAATAACACATCCTTAAACTGTGCTTTCAGGTTCTATAGCCTCAGTATTTTCCTTATTCAGACCTTGTTTCATGCTGTTTCCTACTAACTTAGGATTCTACTTAAATTATTTACACTTTGTCAGATCCAAAGGTCTCTTTCTAGTCTTACCCTCACCACTCACTGTTGGAGAGTCAGCTTTTCAAAGCTTAGCTTGTGCTTCCTTACCGAGTCTTACTGTTTGTTCTGTGTATCATGATACCTTTCTCCTTTAACTTCCCTCTCAGTTTCCCTCCCATGAGGCAAACGTGTAGGGTAGCAACAATGTCTTTCACATGTCTGCATAGCTCCACAACTTTGGATATAATTTTACCTGTAAACATTCAGAAATTGAGGGGTAATATATTTGTTACAACATAAGCATGGCTCTTACACTTGGCAATATTTCAGAAACAGTCCAGTGCTATGGAGTACAAGAAGACGGATGCTCCCCAGCCAGATGTGAAGGACGAAGAAGGGAAGGAAGAAGAGAAGAACAAGGGGGATGAAGAGGAAGAAGAGGAGAAGCTTGGTGAGTGGAGTCTAGAGATCTGTTCTAAATCCTGATTAACAAAAGAAGCTACAGCAGGTTGTTCTTAAATGATGCTGTAATTATTGTCAGAATTCTATTTGAAGTTCTGTTCAGTAGTTTGATTTTATTTTCTGCCTTAGAAGAGAAGCAGAAGAGTGATGCTGAAGAAGATGGTGGCACTGGCAGTCAAGATGAGGAAGATAGCAAGCCTAAAGCAGAGGTAAGGCGGGGATAATAAATACTTCAGCCACCTAAGCTGAGAGCATATTCAGTAAAGAGATTTTTTTAATGTAAGTGTATATGCAGAGTGGGATATGGTATGTACGTGTGATAGCAAGTGCTTTAATTGCCAGAGGTGATGAATCCCCCAAGGTACTGGAGTTAAAGGTGGTATAGGTCCTCTCAAAGAGTCATATGTGCACTTAACCACAGAGCCATCTCTGCAACCAAAGAGAATGTTTTTATACATTACTTTACAGTGACTATGGAAATATTTTTCTGTGTGGGAAACGTGGGTTTTTTTTTTTCTTTTTTTAAATAAATAGGAGTATCAAGTTTCTTAACAGTCCTGTGACATTTATATTTCTTCACTGTCCCCTCAAAGGTATTTCTTGAATACCACTGCATTTCCAACTACTTTTGGTTTTTTCATGACAGGGTTTCTCTGTGTAGCCCAGGGTGGCCTGGAACACAGAGGTCCACATGGCTTTGCCTCCCAAAAGCTAAGATTAAAGGTATGCACCACCACCACATGGTATGTTTTAAACTTTGAGACAGGCTTTCATGTAGTCCACTCTACTCTTTCATTCTGTGTAGTCAAGGGTAATATTAAACTTCCCTCCATGCCTGGTATGTGCTCATGCTCTACTCTATTTTATGTGGTGCCGAGAGTGCTCTTAAAGAGCACCTGGATTCATTTCTCAGTATACATATGGTGGCTCACAACTGTCTGTAATTCCAGTCCATGGGGATTTGATGCCCTCTTCTGTCTCTGAGGGCATCAGGCTTGCACAGGGTAAGATTCAGGCAAACACACATTAAATAAAATTAAATAAAATCCCCTGTCAAATTAAAAAAAATTAATAGGTTTAAGGAAAGTACATGTTTTCTGAAAATAAAGACTAAAATTTAATACCTATAATTCCAGTACTTGTCACAGTATACCTTTAACTAATTGAATGACTTAGTTTAAATGGTCGTGAAAATTTGGCAGCATTTGTATATAAATATGCTAATTATATGAACTTCTCTTTTCAACTAATAGGAGGATGAAATTTTGAACAGATCACCAAGAAACAGAAAGCCACGAAGAGAGTGAAACAATCTTAAGAACTTGATCTGTGATTTCCTCTCCCTCCCCTTCCCCTGCAAATGTGGTCCTAGGAGAGGGCCTGGTGTACCTTAGGTGGGAGCTCAGAAAATCTCAAGATGTCACCATCGACAGGTTCCAGTGAATACTAGCCTGTAATTTTAAACATCTAGCAGTAAATAATTGCAGTTGTAATGTAAAGGACCCTGTTTCTGTAGAAAAGAAAACATTTAACATAATGGTTGTGAAATGTAACATGAAGCAACTAACTAGTGTTTTGTTGTTTTTAAAATCTTCCGGGTTTGTCTTTCTTTCTTTTTTCTTTTTTCTTTTTTTTTTTTTTAAAGATACAATGATAGAATTTTTGCCAGTTTAAAATCTTGGCTTAATTTAATATATTAATTTGCTCATGCGAAATAACACCAACATTAGGAATGCTAGGGAGAATGAATTGCAGTTTTTATAACAATTTTTTTAAGTTTGGTATTAAAACATTCATGTGTCTGTCCCTAAAATTGTAATCACATTCAAGTGCAGTCATTTGTGGTTATAATCTTGTTTTGTGTGCTTCCATTAGTTAATTCCTCTTAAGGACACGAGAGAGATTGGATGGAAGCCCAAATTTATTTCAAAGTTCTCTTTGCATTGTATTGACTAGACCCAAAAAGAACTAATAGGAGACTTTCCCTTGGTGTTGGTCAGATCATAAAGTGCAGTGTTTTGTTGCCCTTGAGACTGCTCCATTCACCAACAGCTTTGCAGAAGAAAGGAGCTGGCTTAATGCAGCAGTTCATACTGTACTTCCCACATAGGAGGTCTAACAGCTCAGCTCCAGTCCTCTGGAGCACAAGGCTTTTTAAGGAATGCTGGTGGTGCCTGAGTAGAAACTATATCACTTGTTTCACTGTGTTGACACTGTTTTCCTCATGGATCTCCTCAGTCCCTAGCTTTCTCTGCTATGCATTTTCTTCACAGCGCAGCTTGCAGTCCGTTGCTGAAAATTATAAGCTCTGCATAGTGTTGGCTTTACTGTGATTACATCTGTTTCTTCTTTTTTTAAGCAGGCCCACACCTTTCTAGGGTCCAACTACAGGATAGATTACAGATTTTCCATTAGTGTCTGTTTCTTTTACACTGTGTAGACTTTAGAGAGTCTAATTCAGAGATGGGCCAATTCAAAATTGACTATAATTGAACACAGGCTAAAAGTATTTATGGGAGGATTGACACATAAGCATGAGTTATTTGACTTTTGTAGGGTATTTAAAATCTTCATTTGCAGTTCATGTAACAGTTATGTCTTAAAATTTACACAATAAAGCAGTCCTGTTTAATTTTTTTTTTTTGTGGCTTGTAGAATTTTTTAAAAGAGAATTTAGGGCGTTTTGTTTTTGGTTTTTGTTTGTTTTTGGTTTTGTTTTTCATGTGGAATGCAGATGGGTGCTAGAGGAGCCTCTCCCACATCACTATAGTGTAATATTATTACACCACACTGAAATGTATTCAGAAACAGAGGTTTCAATTTCATTCTTTATCCAGAGGTGGTCCAGTTGTACCAATGATACTGTTCCTTGCACTGAATATATATAAACACTCCACAGTGTTTATATTGGGGAAATACTGGGAAAGAAATATATTTGTTAAGGATGAAGGCTGTATCTATTGTCTTTATAAACACTGGTTCATTTCTTTTGAGAGTGGAATGCATTTTTTTTCTGTTCAGTGCTTTATCACCATCTGTTGTTTGTGGTCACAGTGACCATAGCTATGTAGCAGACATTTCCAAATGTGTAGAGTGAAATAAACAGTTACTAGCAAGAAATGAATACATGTCTGCAGGTTTCTCCTTGAAGCAAACACGGGGATGATTGCTTTTCTAGAAATTAACTGTTTAATCATTCTACATTGACACTGTTTTGTGCCTACTTTATTTTCACCCAAGCTGTACAATAACAGGTTAATTTAAGTCATTGGTGGTGTTCATTGCCTTTCTGGTTCCCTTCTTCCTCTCTCAAGGTTCCGTTGAAGCTACAGCCTCCTTAAATGTCTCACATACTAATGAATGGCCAGCAGTTTTCAGCTCTTACAAAAAGCTTTACAGGGCTGGTATTGTAGCTCAGTAGGTAGAACTGCCAAGCATGTGCAAGGTTCCATGGGTTTGATACCTGGCACTGAATTAAAATAAGTAAAGTCCCTTATATTCTGATTTTTTATGCTGGATTCTTTGTTGTTGTAAAATGCCCATTCCTTCAGTAGTACTCTATTGTCCACTTTTCAGATTACCACATTTCTAAATGACATTAAAGCCCTGTGTTAAATGTCTGGATCATAGCGTTGGATGTTTTTGCTGTTTGAATAAGGGTTAATTTAGTCTTTTTATTCTCATAGGAGAGTTCAATTTAGTCTTGTATTTAACTTCCTCTGTCCAGTGATGATTTAGTCATTACTATTGTGTAAAATGGACTACGGCCCAAAACAGGGAAATTTTTTTGTATGTTTCTTTCATTGCTAGTATTTGAACCAATGCTTTACCACTGAGCTATATACCCTGTCCTCCTAGATAATAAATACTGTTTTTTTTTTTTTTTTTTTGGTTTTTCGAGACAGGGTTTCTCTGTATAGCCCTGGCTGTCCTGGAACTCACCCTGTAGACCAGGCTGGCCTCGAACTCAGAAATCCACCTGCCTCTGCCTCCCAAGTGCTGGGATTAAAAGCGTGCGCCACCACCGCCTGGCTAATAAATATTCTTTTAAGATATAAAGAAACATTTTTATTAGAAATTTTATCTCAGGCTCCATAGTTGAGGATATTATTGGAAGTCATACCCAGGATGTTTTGTTTTAGGTTGCTTCCTGAACCCATACACTACAATGTGTATAGTACTTCTAGGTAAGAGCTTTGAAGACAACCTTGCACTTGCTTGAGTGCTGGTAAAAACCAGTGCTCGTTTATCTTTGCCACTCCCTCCACCAAAAAACCTAGAATTCCTATTTTCTTACTGCATTTGTGTAAAAACATTTGACTGTTAGCTTTTTTTCCTTGTGGTTTTTAAAATAAAACCTTGATGAACTCTAGTAAGAGGTTAAAGAGTAACATGTTTGAGTGGCTGGTGAGGTCTTACAGTGCAAAGCCTCCCATCTCCTGTGTCAGTTTGGATGTCAGTAGCCATCTAGAATATTTTTTGTTCCTTCCCTGGATTTTTACCTTCCCTTGCTAGCGGCATCACTGGAACCCAGTGCTTTGGGTTGGATTTTGAGTGAATCAGTTTCACATAATCAGTCGGTATTAAGTGTGTGTCCCTGTGGATCTAAAAAACTCCAGTCACCAACAGGGAGGCTGAAGACCACTGAGGACTCTTACCCTTTCAAGTAACGAGATACTGCTCACAGTACCAGTCAGTGATTCCTATCTCTACTAGGTCGTTCAAGCTCAAAACAGTTCTGATCAGTTACGGGGCTGTATGTAAAAAATGAGGTTAGAAATGGCTGACCTCGAAATAGTGTGGGTAGGCTAAAAAGATAGCATTGGACATCTGGGTCTTAAGGCTTCCACCTCACTTAGACTTAACCCGCGTTCCTCACGAACCCGGAAGGGACTGCCTTCAGGGGGCGGTGTTCGGAAAACGTGGCTCTTCTTGGATAGGTTCCTGTCAGTCACAGTCCACTCTCCTGCACTAAGCCCGCCTCGGGGCTTCCCTCCTTGCCGGAGAGTTCAGTTTAAATACCCGAAGATTCCTGACGTGCTTATCCCCCACGCCCTCGGGCAGGGGGTTTCGTTTGATTGGCTATAGCTCCGGTCCATCAGCAGTGACGCAGAGTTCGCCGGCCCAGGCCCCGCCCTCTTCCGAAAGCCCCGAAAACAATTTTAAGATGGCGGCGGCAGCGGCGCGGAAAACAATGGGGCAGGGGTATAGCGGACAGGCCAAAGCCTGAGGCGGGCGGTGTTCGCTGGCCTGGAATCGGGCCGAGCGGGGCCGGAGGAAGACCCGCCGCCGCGCTCGAGTCCGCTCCACAGCCCGCCGGGACATGGCGCGGCCGTGAGGCGGATCCGGGCCGCCAGAAGCGGAGGAACCCGAAGTGCCAGCCGGCGCCGGGAGGCCCGGGCCGGGCCAGCTCTGCCCGCGGCCCATGGTGCTACCCACCTGCCCCATGGCGGAGTTCGCGCTGCCGCGGCACAGCGCGGTCATGGAGCGCCTCCGCCGGCGCATCGAGCTGTGCCGGCGCCACCACAGTACCTGTGAGGCCCGCTACGAGGCTGTGTCTCCCGAGCGCCTGGAGCTCGAACGCCAGCACACCTTTGCCCTGCACCAGCGCTGCATCCAGGCCAAGGCCAAGCGCGCCGGCAAGCACCGGCAGCCGCCCGCCGCCGCCCCGGCAGCCGCTCCGGCCCCCGCCCCGGCCTCAGCGACCGCGCGCCTGGACTCAGCGGACGGCCCGGAGCACGGCCGCCCGGTCGCGGTGAGTAAGGCTGGCGTCTGCCACAGCAGTACTCACTCCCCGAAAACGCCTCTTCCGGCGCGGATCGGGCCTTGGGGAAACTTCCCTGAGCGCCCCCATTTCTTAGTCGGGTCCTGGGAGGAGGCTAACATGGCAGGGCGCTTGTCATCTTCGAGAAGTGGCACTGCGGTGTACTTTGGGAAAACGTCCTCGTGAGGACTTTGAGTGAGTCGGGGCTGGATAAGCAGGAAAAGGTTAGTTGCTGATAGGCTTTTCTCCTAAACTTAATTTCCAACTGATGAGAACTTTGTCTTGGAATAGACCCGCGTTGGAGTTGCCTAGGTTGTAGAGCGTTCTTGCACCATAAGCCTGGCCTCGGTTAGTCTGCAGATGTTGATTGGATCTTTCCTTCATGGATAGTTAGGGCTTTAATATGGAAATAAGTCTCCCTTCAGTTGACAGTATCCTGCGGCTTCCGAATGGAAAATCGAAAAGCTTTTGGAAGCTTTGTAAACGGAGTTGCATAAAAGGCATTCTTTTTTTTTTTCTCCCTAAAGGGAACTTTGGAATTTGTGAACGCGAGATTCCTGCTATACTATTGACAGTTCCAAATTTAACCTACTTAGCCTGTTAAAAACCTCTGATAATATTAATAGTTGTTGAACGGGGGAAATGACGTTAGTCGTTGGTCAGCTGTACCCTTTGGTTTTTAGTGGCTAATCCCGAGATTTATTGGTTAGAAGTTTTGCCTCCCTGAAACCTGATTTATAAACCGGAAACCTCTGTGGAGGGGGAGGGGGAATGGGCGTTACAAAATTCTTCGTAAAGTTTAAAAGTAAAATTATACAACACATAAGTTGTTAGGTAATTCCAGTTCATGGCTTCATTGTCTCTCACTTGGTCCGTTGTAACTCTTCCTTAACTGGTGGTTAGTCTTTCAGTCACTTAATACCCTTCCTCTTGAAATGTTACAAACCCTTCTGTTGCTGGAGGGAATTAAGTTGTTGTTTGGCTTTCGGGACCAGCCTGACCTAGCCTATCTTTCCATGTGCCCCACAGAACTATTGTTTTCTTTCTTTCCCACACTATCCTCGATTTGATACTACAAGACTTTGGTTCTGACCGAGTCTTTTTCATCCTCACCTTCCCGCCTGTAATTCGAGGGTATGTTGGGCTTCTTACAAGGTTTCTTGAAGAAATCAAATGAGTATGAGGTTAGGTGTGGTGATCCATGCCCAGAGGCAGGAAGAAAGAAGAAATGAACATGGATGTGAGCGAATTTCTCAAACTAAAAGGCTGCTTGCAGGATCTTTCTCAACATTTTCAGAATCCTGCTTTCCTTCCAACCACAGCCTACCTTCTTTTACAGTTTCTGAAAAACCAGCCCACAGCAGAATCTCTTCCCTCAATACAGTTATGAATATGTGCATGTGTGTGGTTTTTTTTGGTTTGCGTCTAATTGTTTGTTTTTTTTTCAAGACAGAGTTTCTCTGTGTACCCTGGCTGTCCTGGAACTCATTCTGTATATCAGGCTAACCTCAAACTCAGAGGTCCATCTGCCTCTGCCTCTGGACTGTTGGGATTAAAGGGGTGCACCACCACTGCCTAACTTACATCCTTTGTTTTTAGCACATAGTCACATATTACTTCAACCATATTGTGCCTTGCCTAGTAGACTATAAGCTTTGGAGCCCCAAAGGCTTGGGCTAAGTCCCATTCATATTTTGGGCTATCCATATACTTGTTGAGTGATTGATAACCAACTTGGGTGTACTTTACCCAAAATGACTTAACTGAATGAGTCACCTTAACTAACAAATCTTTCTTGAAAGATCCCCACCTTTCCCCCAGTCCCTTTTTGGGAATTGAGCCTAAAACATTGTACTTACTGGTTGTCTTAGCTGGGGTTTCTATTGCTGTGAAGAGACACCATGACCACAGCAGCTTTTATAAAGGACAACATCTGATTGGGGCTGTTCTGCAGGTCAGAGGTTTAGTCCAGTATCATCATGGTGGGAGCCATGGTGGCATGCAGGCAGACATGCTTCTGGAGAGGAGGCTGAAAGTTCTATATCTGGATATACAGACAGCAGGAAGATAGGGTGACACTGGGCCTGGCTTGAGCATCTGAAACCTCAATGACCGCCTACCATGACACACTTCCTCCAACAAGACCACACCTCCCAGTAGTGCTGCGCCCTGTGAGCCTGTGTGAGCCATTTCCATTCGAACCACCACACTGAGGACCGTTCTACCAGCTATTAATGCTGAGGAAGGACTCTGAGGCAGTAGGCAGGTGTTCATCCCATCTGAAGTTCACTGTGAGAGCTCATAAAACAAACAACTTACATGTACCATCTCCTTAAACACCTCTCAGGAAGAATAGTAACAAGGTTTCAATTTCTGCCTAAAATTATGGTAAGACTTTAGAATTTACAGAACTTTATAATTTTTAATTTCTGAAACACTGGAGAAAAATTGAGTTGTCATCCAGTGTTTTAAAAAGAAATGTTAGGGGCTGGAGAGATGGCTCAGCGGTTAAGAGCACTGACTGCTCTTCCAGAGGTCCTGAGTTCAATTCCCAGCAACCACATGGTGGCTCACAACCATCCGTAATGAGATTGGATGCCCTCTTCTGGTATGTCTGAAGACAGCTACAGTGTACTCATCAATAAAATAAATAAAAAAAAAAAAAAGAAATGTTAGCCGGGTGGTGGTGGTGCATGCCTTTAATCCCAGCACTTGGGAGCCAGAGGCAGGCAGATTTCTGAGTTCCAGGCCAGCCTGGTCTACAGAGTGAGTTCCAGGACAGCCAGGGCTACACAGAGAAACCCTGTCTCAAAAAACCAAAAAAAAAAAAAAAAAGAAAGAAAGAAATATTAGAACTTGAATCCAGCAGGTTGTAGGTAGATGCCTATGACCTCCGAGTTTGGAGTAGAGACAACAGAAGGATAGCTGCAAGTTCAAGGCCAGCCTGGTATATATAGCTAAGCTAGGTAGGGCTATGTAGGAAGAACGTATCTTAAAGGAAGGGTGGGAAGGGGAGATGCTCAGCAGTTAAGATCACTTGGTACTCTCATAGAGGAGCAGGTTTGGATTACAGCATCCAGTTGGCAGCAATCCATCTGTAACTCCAGTTTGAGATCCTTGGAGAGCCAATGCCCTCTTCTGGCCTCTGAACACACTGGGTACCTACATGATGTATAGGCATACATTTAGGCACATCACCCAAAAAACTGAAAATAAAAACTGTTTTTGGCCCAGTTTGTGTGTGTGTGTGTAGTCCTGGCTGTTCTGGAACTTGTTCTATAGACCCCAGGCTGGCTTCAAATTCAGAGATCCACCTGTTCCTTCTTCCCAAGTGCTGGGATTAAAGACATACCACCAAGCCTAGCTTTAAAAAGCAACTGAGTCTGACTTGTCAGTAAGTCAACCTGACCAGATAGACTTGCCATGTCAGGCTGTTGTTAACTGATGTGAGAGTCTTGTGAGTTTAAACTTTAGAGTGGATAGTGTTCTTTATTTCTTCTATAGGGGGGAAGGACCCTTTTCACTGATGTGATTCTAGCTGAGCTGTACAGCCTTGGATTGGGCCTACAAGATAAGTATCACTAAGAAAGCAGTGGTGGTTCCATTTCAGGGGCTCTTTTAGAGGGGAAAGAGGCCTTGGCGCTGTAGGATTTCAACTTGTATAGCACAACTTTGAATTTTCTCACTACATTTCTAAAAAAATGTATGTATGTGGATGTAGGTTAGTAGATGCAGGTCACAGCATGCCTGTGGAGACTAGAAGATAACTTGCTGGAGTTAGCTTTCCTAAGTGGGTCCCAGGGATTATAATCATGTTGTCAGACTTGGTGGAAGACGAGCTAAGCCATCTTGACAGCCCAAATGCAAAGCTTTCCAGAAAGCTAAAAAAGAGAACACAGGTTACTCCCAATTTTAGACAATTGTGTGTATGTGGTCTTGTTAATCTTTATAGAAACTGTTAATATGCCCTCCCAGCGGTGGGGCAATGTCAAACTGTTAGGCAGTCACTGCACAGCTAAGGTTCCTTAACTGGCACACCTTTTGAGTGATGAGACAGATACTGCTAATAGAGTCCCCTTTACTTGTCTTCTTGTTAGGGTATCTCACACACACATCACCCCAGCAAGGTCCTGACCACTACCCATCACACCGTGTTAGAGGTCAGGAACAATAGATACTTCAGGCTTTTTTCTATCCTGGCTTTTGAGAAATCAGCCTATTAGATTTTCTTTATAATGTATTCCATTTCTGCTTGTTTGTGTGTGTGTGTTGAGTTTGGTATGTGCACAGATGCTGGTATACTACAGTTTGAATGTGGGTATCAAAGGACAACTTCCAGGAGTTGGTGCTTTCCTTCTGCCCTGGGGATCAGGGATCAAACTCAGGTTGCCAGGCTTGTGGCAAAGCACATTTACTTGCTGAACTTACCTTGCTGGTCCCAAATACCATTGTCGTAATGGCAGGATTGCCTTCCTTTTTATTAGGCTTGCTAGATTATAGAAAATTACCACTCACTTCACACAAACCTTCATTCTGTGAGTGAAAATAGTCTTCTATAGAAGCATGGATAGTTTGTTTCTATAATAAAATGTTATAATGCTTATTCCCATTTTCTCTATGGCCTTGGTTAGGATTTGCTACTGAGTCTAGAGGAATTTCCCTGAGTGGTTGTGACAGTTGATTTCAGCCTGTTCATCCTTAAAGCTGCTTCCTGCCTCACTAGTGACAAGCAGCTCCTCTCCGTTAGCTAACTGCTGTTCTGTTTGTCCACTCTAGTGTTTTTATTTGGTTGGATTTTTGTTTGCTTGGTTTTGTTTTCTGTTTTTTGTTTTTTTTTTATTTTGAGACAAGGTCTCTGTCACTACAGACCACACTGGCCCAGGGCTCACAGAAACCCACTTGCCTTTGCTCCTGAATGCTAGGATTATAGGTGTGCACCATCCTGCCCAGCTTAACTTGTCATTTAACTGGAAAAGCACTACACCAACAGT